AGAAAAAAAGTAATATTGTTGCCTGGATGATTTACTAAAGTTGTATACTAGTGAAACCTTGCCTTTCTTACTGCTTTTCTTCATGTGTGGTCAGGACAAAAAGTGGTACTGTCCAGCTACCACAGCAAGGAATGCCAGGAAGAAATTCAACATTCAGAAAATACGAATATTTTGTAAGTTTTGTAAAAATGTAGAGATATTTTATAGCTTTACATTTCTTTTCTGATATGAAAGTTAACTTCAGTTAATGAAACAAGGCCAGCAGCTAATGAAACAAGACCATCTCATCCCAGCAAAAAATCTCATTTCTGTTTTACTTCCATAACAACAAAATTAGAGGAAATGCAATGGACTTTCCATATGTACAATCCATTCTTAGCCATTCAGATGGCTCAATATTTAGCCTATGAACCACTGTGTTCAGCTCACTAAACATTTATTCTGCTAAAGTCTGACTTCTTGCAGGGTGATGTTCTCCCCCAGCTCCTCTTGCAATTTAAAGATCTGACTTTACACGTCACAGGTTTAGAGCAGTGTCTTCTGAGGGTGGGAGGAGAGCAGGGGGGATTGGATAGCTGCCCAATTTCATATGATAAAAGTGAAATTCTCTTCTGTCTGCACGACAATCCCCAGGGAACAACGTATGAAACCCAAACTTAAATAAAATCATATCCTGTTTGCAAACATCATATTCCCTTTGCTTCTCAGTAATCTGGACCCATAAACCCCAGCACAGCTTGAGAGCCCATTCCTCATCTAAACAAATGCCATAAGCCCCTTTATACTTTTACAACCATGTCAGAAAATAATATTGACTGCCAATAGTGATGTGATTGGAGTTGCCTCCTCTGAGCCATAAAAGAAGCAGTCTGTTATCAATTTCTCTAAATGCACCAAGGGAATTATGGGTCGGTTCAGTTCCAAGTTATAAATGACAATTCAAAAGCCGCAGAAGTGTTTGAAGCTGGGAGCCGATGATGACATTATCATAAAAGCCTGCTCTTCTTTGCTTTTGTGGGTTTTTTTGCCTATCAGCTAGACAAAAAAATATGGCTGAGAAATGACTTCAAGATTTCTTCACACAGCAGCAGGTCAAACAGGCAGGAAAACAATCACTATTTTTAGTGACAGACTGAAGCAAGGAGATGAAACTTACTCCCATTAAAAGTAGATTTCTGTTTCTCTTATTGTCATTTTTACAGCACAACAGAAGGGCAGGAATTGCAATAGATGGATGCATTGATCAAATGATCTGTTATAGCTCTTGTGGCTATTTACAGATGAAAAATTGTGGAATGGTCTGATAATCTTCAGACCCAAAAAGTAATTTGTGGTTATTCTCCCCATTTGGCCACTTCACCTGCAATCTACCCACCTCTCCTGGAAAACTTTTCACATTCCAAACCTCTGACCAGCTGCAAGAAACCATCTCTTGTTATTAAAACTTCTGGCTGTAGAGCTGCTAGTCTGTCTCCAGCACAAGGTATTTCATCCCCCTGGTATTAGAATTCTTTAACAACAGTTGGTTCTGGAACAACGTTAAGCTTGAAAAAAGAATAAAAAGCATTATTGCAAGAGGGAGGTCCCATACTTCAGCGAATGTACTGCTGACCCTGGGTAGTCCTCTGATAAAAAATTAACCATCATTGAAAGAAAACAAGTTAGGAGCAAACTTAGAAGGTTAGACTTAGACAACTTTTTTTCTTTCTCTGTGGGATCTGTTCAGTTTGGCTGTCAGTATGAAACACCTTTGTGCTCTTAGATAAGAGCTAATTATTACTTATATAGTTTCTTAAAAAAACGTAAAGTTTATTGTTTGATTTCTTCCGAAAGCCTAACATGTACCAAATCAAATTAATCAATGACCCTGACATAATCAGTCCCTATCACTACCTGAATGAAAATTCATATGGATAAAAAATGTTTACAAAATCAGTAAGCGGTAGCTTTGCATGCATTTTGCACTGGTACAAAAGATTTAGAGTTATGATGGAACAGGATCAGAAAATATTAGTTATGGACACTGCCTCTTGTTTGCTTTTCACAATTCTTGGAAAAAACTTCCTTTTACTGTAACTATAAGTAATGTTCAAAGAAGAGGATCCCTGATCTTGACTGGAGTTTATTCGTGCTGTTAGAACAGAGATAACAATAAAATAAATAATATAGTAGAATTCAGGGTTACAGGTTTGACCTTTGGTCAGTTTGACCTTTGTTTGTGAGCAATGCAAGTCATCCCAAACTCATGCCAATATAGTCTTTATAGCCCATCAGCTGATCATCTCTTCAGTGCCTGTGAAGCCCTAGGTTCTAGTCCTTGCTCCAAGAGCAGTTTCCACTTTGTCCAGTGATTCTCTCAGGTGAAATATATAAGCTGTTTGTGGAGCAGGGACTCAGAACTAGGGCTTCATTTTATTTATAAATGTATGATAGGTAGATTATGGCCTTAGAAACATGGGCTTTCTCCTGCTTATGCTCTGTCTTACTGCTCCAGTGCTCTTTCCAACAGGGGCACAGCTTGAGTGCATGGTGTGCGAGGGTCCCCAACCAGAAACAATCTATGTTCTCCTCAGTGGTAACGACATCTGCTAAGAGATGGGGGCTCTGGTATTAAATCCAGCCTGAGAGTGGATAGAAATGAGCCTACGATTCCCATCCTCTGTGTGAGTAGTCTAACCACTACTCTATTTAATAATAGAAGAGCTGCATAATAACAGCCAGCAAGGTCCCCATATGGTTAGAAGACAATAGGATCAAAGAGCTCTGAAAACCATTGTTCAAGAGACAGCCATAAAGTCTCCTGCAAGAATGGAATTCTTTTTCTCTTAATACTTCCTCACTGTATTCTTTAGCAAACAAGTAAGCAAGAAGGAAGAAAATAAATGAAAACAAAAATTTTAAAACAATTTTTCCATCCCTCCTCAAGGTCTTTGTATTAATTACTCTTACTACTTTACATTGATTACTGCTTTGTAACACTCAACTGAGTTGAAAGCTACTAAGTAGCAATGTTTCTTCTTTCTTCCCACCACTGTTTTTGAAAGTAAACTTAAGAATTGCTTTCCACACAGTTTGAAGCAGCTCCCTTTCCCAGAGCTCATCTTAACCAACAGACAGCTAAATATCCCTGAAACGGAGCTCCTAATCTGATTATTTACCTTGACAAAGGTCATAACCCATTCTTTTAAAAGAGCCCCACAGCAAGCCTGACAATAATAATATGTAGAAAGGCAAACTAACTAGAAAAAAAATAAATAAAAGATCCATTTCTACAACATGTTCTTTAATCCAATTTCTATGATTTTAAATAAAAAATAAAACAGACTCAAAAAAGTGTAGCTAAATTTAACTGTTAAAAAAAAAAAAAAAGTTATACTGAGCATTTCTGACTTGCATTAGCTTTAGAATGGACAACATGCTTTCATTAGTAGGATTTCAAAGCACATCTCTATTCAGGATTTTTAATACCACAATAACTTGCTTTGTAGAAAAATCTTGTACTTTAATATTCAAAGTGTACCAGAGTCCTGAGTACTTTCCAAAGCCCTCAAGAAGATTTGTCAAGAAATTTTACATCATCTCCATTTAGAAGCCTGAACAACATCCTTTCCCAACTTTATTAATCTCTTGTTCAATTTTCTCTAGGTTTCTTAATAATTGCAACAACAGTGTGAAAAAATACCTTTTTTTTTATATACAGAAATGTGTGCATATGTGCACACAGTAATGCACAGAGGTGCATGTGGATGTGCATGTCTACATGTCAGTATGTAATGTTAACTGATCCACAAACAGAAATGACCACCAGGTTTCAAAATTAGCAAGCTGGGTGTCACCAAGTTTTAAATTTTAGGCAGAATCCTCAGCAAGCTAAATCCATAGTGGAGGAGCTAAAATGGTTATCACTTCCTGATTCTTTGTTCCTTAACTCATAGTTCAAAAATCCTCAAAAAACACTAAATACTGAAAGCTAAGATGATTTTTTTCTTTTTCATGGATTAAAACCTTATGGAATTAGTATTTCTTGTCAGGTATCTCATAATAAAAAACCTCACTATAAACAAGACTAGTATGGTATGGAATTTATCCTTTGTGAAGGATAGAATTAAAAACTTCAGAAGTTTGCATTGTAAGTTGACCTCCAAAGACTGTGTCTTTATTCCTGCATACTCAGAAACAGTGAAAGGGAACTAAAATATATATGTGTCATCCAGTCAGCTCATCATTATCTAGTAGTATCATTTGACTTCGAAATTGCTGACATGTGTGAAAAACCCCTGTACATGAAAAATTATTTCTCTCTGGTATTATCTTCACTAGAATTTGATAGGAGCATGATACCAACATCAATAGAAATTGTCCATTCTACATGTTCTTCAATAATTTAGATTACTTTTTTATCTAGTGTTGCAACTGATTTTTGCCTGCAGATTTTTGTCTACTGTGTCCAAATACTCACAAGATTGTATTTCAGAATGAATCAATTTCAAAATCGGACATAAAAATGCTAAAATAATTTATTAGTTGAACAACACCAAGTTATTAGCTGGCAGCTAGTGAGCACTTCTTATGCTAAATGTTAGCTTTGGTAGTTTTTTTTTTTGTCCTTTCTGAGAAATTCAAGGCTATACTTACTTTCAACAGTACACAAAACAGCTTATCCAAAGCTCATTCTGCTATATCAATTGCACCTATGTTACTTTCCTCAAAAATAGAGCTCATGTAAAAAACCCAAAGTGGGACAACTAAGAAATGTGCGCATTGTTACAAAATATGTTTCTATCTAACTATTTCATATGCTTATGGTAATGTACTGTCTTCTGTGTCTTTGAAAACACAGTATGATAATGTCTCAGGTTTCATCTCTACATTTTTTTATCAAAATAAAAAGTCCTCCTTCTGAGGACTTTGAACTGATAATGCAGTAGTGCTAAAGAATCCGTGAATGAATACATATGTTGCATGTTGTCCCTCTTGCAAAAAAATAAGCATCTACTTACCCCAAGTCCCCCACAAGGCAACAAGGAAAAGAGTTTTTGAGACACGTTTCCTATATATTAAAGAAAAAAAGAAACAATAAGCATAATTTATCAAAAAGACATTTAAATACTGGAACAGCGATAACTTTTCTGTAATGCAAATTTCAGTATCACGCAATGAAAATGCCATATATTAGGATAAAAAATATTAATAGTACTTAGAAAGCAAATCAGCCGTGGGACATTTAAGGTACTCTCTTGCAACAGTGACAAAACTTAAGATTGGTAAGCAGTAGTTTCAAAGGAGTATAATGATCAAATATCGACAGAAATTCTTTCTGAACTAGGGTGACTAATCCCAATATCTGTGGCTGATAAGCAGCTTGTCTAACCTTGTCATCTCAGCTTCTTCTACAGCCAGTGGAGTGAGGTAGGCACCTCTACCCAGCCTAGATGACTGATGGGATGAATTATACTTAAGAAGTGCCTGTTTCTTTTCACTGACAACAGAGGGAACCTCATTAAGCTTACATGAAACTGATAACTAATTTTTAACATCATCTCTCCAAAAAAGTTTCTCCTTTGAAAATCACAGTCTTAGTCTTCCTATCTATGCAGAAATGCTGTTCTCTTCATTTACATACCACCAAAAAATACATTGATATTTTAAAAACATAAATACTCCTTTCAGTATTATTCAGTAAATATATTCTACTAAAGGGAAGAGGGAATCTAATTTCTTACTCTTCTCTATACATTGGATAATTTGATAGGGTTTATATTAATATTTATACTCACTTTTTATTCATTCATGTTTTCTTTTTTGTACCACTAAACTCACTGTTTGTCTTGATAAGGACAATATGAAAACCGGGAAGGGATCTCGGGATTTGATGCAGTTCCTATCCCAGTATGTAATCTGATCTTAAGGCAGCTGTAGAAGAGAACATAAGCTTTTCCCCTGCCGTATCACAGAACTGGCTTTGTAACTTTGCCATCTGGAGGAAACGTTAGATAGTGAATCACTCAAGTTACCTAGAGGAGCCACCCATTGTTATGGAAGGGGCGAATACTGCAGTTACTCATGTTTAGCAGGTGCCAATGAAATGCATAAAGACAATTACAAGCCATCATCTTTGAAGTATGAGAGACCAGACTGCAAGGTCAGAGATGAAAAAAGTGCTTTTTACTTCGAGTAAAATCCAAGATACATTTTTAACCGACTAGAAGCCTTTGATCAGTTTGCACAGTGTGCAAGAGAAGCCAAACAAAACCTCCTGTGGAGCTACCAGGGGAAATGCAGGTGCAGCAGCTATGCAGAGTATTCTCATACTGTGAGTCCTAATGGCCCCAGACATGCAAGGAAACGTTGGCTGCAGGAGACTGTCAGAGCAGAGATACAGGAGGAGTTTCCAGATCTCTTGCTAAGCCGATCCAGGGACCAATACGAACAGCAATTTTTCACTTTTCACTGTGGGGAAGATCAAAAAGTCTTGAGCAGATAACTAAAAAATTAGTGCTGTTAAAGTGCCAGGAGACATTAATGGAAACATAAGCTGTAATTTGAGATAAAAGAAGGCATTTTTAGAATATTGAATGAATAGACCTTTTTTCTTAAATTCCATTGCAGAGTTGGAACATAAGAGGGAACAGATGAATTCTCATTTATCTCCCTGCAGCTGGGCACATTGTGCATGGTGAACACTATTAAAAACAACAAACACAGAGTAAAAACAGAAAAGCAAATGGTGAGGAAGGACACTAAAATCAGTCAACAGATAGTACTAAAACAGGGGGGAACAAGCACAAAGCCTTTTCAGTTTATCAGGAAATTTGCCAGCTTACTCACTTCTTATTGCATGATAGTCAAAAAAAAGCAGATAACGGACTTTGCAGAACAAGAAAAGCATCAAGATTTCATTAAAAGAACAGTGGGGAGAGATTATAGTAAGAGAGAGTGAGACCACCACTTAGCTAGCCTCACAGAAAGAAAAGAGTTCACAATACTCTCTGCCATAAACGAAAATCAGTAGCAAAAAGCAAACTCTGAAAATGAATGGAGGTGAGAATTTCCCATGATGTTTGGAGTTGATGTGGCAGCAGAACTTGGTAAATAGCGGCCATTTCCCATTAACACCCTTCCACAGCCCAGGATACTTCAATAATAATAAATAATAATAATAATAATAATAATAATAATAATAATAATAATAATAATAATAATAATAATAATAATAATAATAATAATAATAATAATGGGATACTTCAAGTAAGGTAGAAGAAAAATTTTACATAATCAAACTTTTTTTGGCTTTGCATTCAGGACAGTTTGCAGTCACCGGCAAATCACCTGAGAAAAAATAACTTCTATATAAGATTCAGTACAACAATTTACTGATAGAGCTAGAAAAATTACTCAGGATTTTTATTCTAAAATTTCAACCCACAAAGACAACAGAAGCTGGTTAGTCAAAGTAGGTGCTGAGGCTCCCATCACTGACTGAGATCAGGGCCCCTACAGAAGTCCAGAAAGCTTCTTAGGAGGTTGACAATGGGGGACCAAGAGTCTGATGAGCAGGAAAAGTGATGGGCAAAAAATCTTTTTCAAAAAAGTAAACAAAGGACAAAGTGTGTTCTCTTGTGAGAAGGCACAGTTTAAGAACTTGATTGTTTACAGTATCTTCCCTCAAGAACGATGCCATTTCTGCTAGGCAGTCATTTTTTCACTAACCTGAAATTACAATTGCACAAATGCTCTGTGAATGCATCTTTTAGTTGTACTCTAAATACTGCCTCACTGTCAGGGATGTGTTGACAGTATATTCTCACTTTTACAGACCTGTAATCATTGGAAACTTGATTTTTAGAAACATTTTCTTAGTTATGGTTGGAGAGGTAAAAAACAAAAAAATTTGCAAGACTTGTTTGATAACTGTTCTGTCCTGGAGCTAATTCAAAGAGAGTTGAAAGTTTGTATTTTGCCACATGAAACCATCATGTGTTATGACACATAGTCTGCATATTAGTTTTCTTCATGTCAAGACAGTGTAGTGCAATATAACGTGTTGCTTAACACACCACACTGAAATACAATCAGTCAAAGGCTTAACTACGCAATAGTGTAGAAGTGATCGTTTGCAATAGCTGCATTTATAGGCCCTGATGCAGGAAAAATAAAGACAAGAGTTCAAGCCAGTTTGTACTCTGAAACCATTGAGAATATGTGAACAATAACTGTGTGCTTAATTCTCTCAGATTTTGGTAGTTTACAGCCATTTTGCTTTGCAGTCTTCTAGTACAGAACTTTTTCCTGAACAGGAACACTGAAATAAGCATTTTTTTGCAAGTAGGACCTTTCTAGCCCTAGTCATGCTTAAATTTCATTCCTTCAAGTGTTTCTTTTCTGTTTGAAAGATACAGAAGCCACTTGTTAGCAAAAAAAAAACAAAAAAAAAAAAGTAATGCTTCAGACAAAGCAGATGTACTCTTCTGAACGGGGATAGGGAACAAACATTTTTCTGGAGCACAAGTGGACAACAAATGGTGCATCTGTCTTTTTGGGTGGGTAGAGGAGAAAGGAAAGGAATGGTTAGGTCTTCCTTTTCATTAGGATTCAAAGCCATAATTTGATGGAACAATTTCTGTAGAAAAAAAATGCACTTCCATTGAAATAGAAATGTTTTATGAGAGAATGTTGTTATTGATGACATTTTTGATAAGAAACATATCCTTTATATTTTTTTCCTTTGCTATACATCATTTTGAATTCCTATACTATACCAAGATGTTAATTTTAATGTCAGGATTGGTTAGGTTCAACCTCACTGAACTGGGAACAATGAAAGGTGAAACAGTCACACTGCATTTTGAAAAAATGTAAGAGACAATTAAGTTCCTTTATACAAGAGTCTGGAAGCCGAAATGGTTAGTGCTTCCAGCCAAAAAAACAGGCACATGCGAAAGCATATGGGAAGGGTGTTTCATTGACTGTTATCTTGGTAAAAGGCCATGTGAGATGCAGCAAGAAAACATCCTCGAAACAAAGACAGAAAAGGGCAGTAAGCCAAGGATACACTCAGAATATATGCTAGGAGTGTGATCTTGATATAAACTTAGAGAGTAAATGTTGTGGACTAAGTGTCAAATAAAAAAGGTGAAGAGTGTCAAGTAAAGAACTGTGGGCAAAGAAATACTTTTCTGAGATTGGATGTAGACAGAAACACAGTGAGGATGCCTGGGTCCATTCCTCTTTTCACCTCATAGCTGCAACTACACACTGTTGGTCAACCACTGAGATCCAGAATGGGAATAGTATTTTATATCAGTGTATGTTATATTAAATAATGTAAAAATTAAAATGAAAGAAATCAAACCCAACAAAATTTAAATGAAATGCTTGACTTTATCAAAATGGAACATTTTGACAATGTTAATGAACTCAAATCAAAATGTTTCCAAATTTTAATTTTGCAGGAATTTAGAGCTTTTTCTTGGAAACACTTTTTGGTTTGTTTTTTTGTATTTTTGGGGGGTTGTTTTTTTAAAGGGGAATTTCCTACTGTGGAAATTCAAGCTCCTAGGAATCTATCATAGTGTGTTTTTCAGTTTTGGTGTTGCCTTGGGTAAGAAGATGTAGAAACTTAGATAACATTGTAATCAAGAATTTTTTTTTAATGACTTACTGAAGCAACAGTCAGCCTTACAGAAGAAACTCTTAGCATTAGTTTCCAAAGTAAAACAATTGCTATGCATTACTAGAACTGTGGCAGCGATTTCTTTTGATGGCAGGTATTGTTTTTGTTTGGGTTGGGTTTCACTACATTTAGGAAAATCTCCACATCTTATAAGTGCTATAAAAATAGCTGAGAATTAGTGTTGCATCCACTGTGCTGGGATATAAAGGGCGGGATTTCACTTATAGATTATTTCCAAAATGCACTACTTTTGTGTGTGTTTCCTTTCACATTTTCTGCAGCAGGTCTGACAAGGAGATCTACCTCATGCTACACTCATGGCAGAGCTCAATTTAACCCTACTTTTCTATTATAAAAAGCATACATTGAGCATTGGCTGTGCATAGATACTTGATTGAAAATCCTGTCAGTTTTCTGCTATTTTGTACATCCATAGGTCAATTTAATATTTTAATGTGTTTTTTCCCCCCTGTTATTCAGAATGGTATCATATTCTATATAATGGGAAGTCATTAAAATAAAGTTCACTTATTAGCAAGACTTAAGCACGGTATCTGCACTCATCAGAGCTGAAATAATGGAAATGAAACAAATGAGAACAGCAAACAAGCAATTCTGACAAGCAAGTGTATCTTAAACTCCTATTTTCAAATCAAAGAACACAGGGAGATAGAAGACCAACCGTGTTCAAAATTGCCATTGACTTCTGATGGAGAACAAATTACAGTAAAGGGTTAACACTTCAATGATTTTTGAAGCGAATGAGGAGAAACTTCTATTGCTGCTTTCCAGCCTGTGCATTTTGCTAATCTATATTTGGCTTCCATTGTAACATTCTCCTTCCACACAGCAATGCATTTGGAAAAAGTGAATTTTTGTCACACTGCTTGCCAAGTATTTTAAACTGACACCAGCTATGACTAATGACAGTGCTGGAATGTGCTGTTCTCAGTAGAATAGAGGCCTGTACAGACCTAGGAGTTTCCTGGGGTCCAGCTTCTGTCTGTTCAGGGGGCTGGTGCCATACAGCAGTGAATGATGTTCAGAGTGAACCAGCTGTATTTCCTCCAGACTGGCTTTTCGACCTCGAATTCGCTGAAAGAAAACAGCAGAGGCCTACAATATTCCACTGACAATATTTAGGGAGAAAGAAAAAAAAAAAAAAAAAAAAAGTAAAGGTCCGAAATAACATTTAGTATGATTAATAATGGGTTGAAATTGCGTCATGCAGGAATGTGACACTGATTTGTTTATTAAAGTAATGCTATATGAAAAACAAATGTGTGTGTGGTTTATCACAAATGCTTCACTTAAGGCTTAGCAGAGTTAATACAGGGTTTCATGTACAAGAAAAATAAAAGATTATGCCTCTTTTCTACATTATATTAAGAGATACAAACCAAAAGATGAAATATTTCATAAGTAAGTAAGAAATCTGGTTAGATAAATTCTAGTTTAAAGAGCAAAAAATCACTCACACCTGTAAGCTGCAGATGTGTTCTGAATGAGGATTCATGTTTTTTTGCATCACTACTAGTACTTGTGATTTATGCTACTAGGAAGAACATGAATACAGTGAGGAGAGACAGGGAGAAGAATAAAATTAAAGTTTAAATACTTTAATAAAAAATTCCTTTATAATTTTATTTTCCTGTATAATTTTATTTTTTTAACGTATGTTCTATATCCCAGGATTATTTTTTGCTCTTACACATGCTGACTCACTTGTTTCTTTAAATTTTTGTAGGCGGAGTTTGTCTCTGTTTCTTCAGCCTGTACTCTCCCCACTTAAATCAGTGTTAAAAAAATCTGTGATGTCTTTCTATAAATCCATTGAAATTTAATCAGTTTAGGAAGGAAGGAAGATAGAAAAGAAGGAAGAAAAGATAAAACAAACACCTTCTTATTCAGATCTGGTTTTTGTATGTATTTGGAGTTGCAACGTGTCATAAAAATATTTACTTCTCTGATTGTGCTAGTGCTGCACAGCCTTTGCAGACACAACAACATGAAGCAGTTTTTGTTCAGTTTGGGCATAATAAACAGCACCGTCAACAAAGTTCCGGTCCCAAGCTCACCTTTCCTGTTGATAGTGGATAATGTGGAGAAAAAATAGCCTATTTTTAAGGTCTTAGACTCTGTTTGAAGATATGGTCCTTATGAACACCTGGAGCAAAACCTATCACAACTTAGACTGTGAATTTGTCCAACTGTCGAGGTCTACAGATAAACAAGTACAGAATTTATCAAATAGACCATCCTATTTTTAATAGACGGATTAACCTGTTACAGAAATGCCACTCAAGTCTAGTTTTCTTAGAGGTTAAGTTGTAATTCTTATTATATCCATCACGTACTCATGCACATCAGAAAGCACCAACATCTTCACTAGCAGAAGAAAGCAATGTTATAAATATTAAAGAGAATATGCACTGCAGAAGAAAGGAGCTGCCAATGGGGTCTCAGAAGAACCATGCACAATTTATATTGAGTTAAGTAGTGGCAATTTTTTCTGACTAATCAGGAAAAATATCCTAAAAGTTAGATCTAGATTACTGTGGAACAAGCTCCCCCTCAGGGAAATGGTGGAAGCCCTATTTCTTGCAGTGTTTAAAACTTGACTGGACAGAGCAGTGGAAAAAGCATTTTAGGGAATGATCCAAGAACTAAATGACTTAATAAACTCTTTTTCATCTCTAATTTCTTCAAGCCTCTCCCAGTCTCACATGAGAATTCGTAGCAGTTCACTCACATCCTTTTAACACACAGTTGCACAATCAAAATCAGCACATTATGTTACTTCATGGAGTCAGTAAACTTTGTAATGGATCTTCTGGGTCAGATAAAATGTTTTTCTTCACAAGTGGGGTGACTGGTAACATTTATTTGTTCATCCATTCTTATTAAGGTCTATGTTTCTAATAAGTTGCTTTAAAATCTATATACCCAATTCTCCACAGCAAAACTGGGAAAGGAGGCTAACTTCTAGCACAGCTAAAACAAATGTATAAGAGAAGTAAAGAGGTATTTTATGAAGGTCATATCAAAGAACCTTGAGTAAAATACTCTCTGGTCATATACTTTCTAGAAGTTATAAAAAAACTCTTAAAGAGATGTTTAAGAGAGTTAACTGTCTGACTCTTTTTAAAGTGCTGTTAAATGCCATATCCCTTTAACTATAAAAAGACCCACAGCTAGCCATTATTCTTACAGTGGGGAGTTCTGTGATATCTGGTCTGGAAGCGGCCTCCCCAAAACATTTTGCCAATGAGCTACCTACTACCCAGTATTGCCAGCCAGATTCTCTAGGGCAGAAACAGATTGTGCAGAAAGAGGTTTGGTGCAGAAATCAAGTAGTCCCGACCAGGACGCCCCGCTCCAGGCTGCTCCCAGCTGTGAGGTCCTCGGTGTGCAGCCAACAGCTGAGCTTCCAGGGCAGACACAGCCCGGAGCTGCTCTTTGCTCCAGCTCTAACCTCGAGCATCAGTGAGCACATTTACACAGTGAATGACAGGAGGAAAGGAAAGGGTAAAGAATGTTTCTGCATTCCCATTTCCTCATTTACTGCTCCTTTCATCCCATCCTTGCAGTATCTCTGCCTGTCATGCCATTTTCAATAACATTAAAATGACAACCATCCAAGGCTCTACACAGAGGAAAAAATAATTGATACTTGAAATTACCTGTAATAAGTGCCAAGAACAGTTCTTCTTACACAGTGATGTCAGGATTTAGCAGATCTACAAAAGCACATGTCATAAGTCTGTTGCCAGAAATTGGAATCATGTAACTTCAGCTATGCAAAGCAATAGTTTCTGGCTATCACTGGCATGAGTTATCAGACAGCATAACATATGCATTTGTATAACTTTGCACATACACTTTTATCCACATCTTCTTTATTTTAAAGTGTCTTTCTTAATTTTCATTGGCCGTGGTAGTATCAAAAGCCTAAAATGTAGTAGGAAGCAGAAAATTGGGATAAAGCCAGTGAAAAAGGAGAAATAGCATAGGAGAACTTATGAACAGTATTTATTCAATTCAGGGGGATTTGAATACTACATCTATCCATCTACTACAACCTTAGTAGAAGGCAAGTCAACCTTTTCTAATGTGCATGACAATTTGTGTGTTGGCTTTCTTGTCTGACATATCAATTTTCCTCATCAACAGAGACATTTATGCATCTCAGGAGAGCAAAATACTGCACCTGAGTGCTTCAAAAAATCAGTTTGGAACTAGAAAGTTATTCTCCCCACACTGGGAAAATGCTTTCACCTTTCACAGAGTTTAAGGTCAAAGAGGACTGTCTAGTCTGGTCTTCTGTTTAAAATAGACACAGATACACAGATAACCTCTATTAACCTGAAGATTTTGATTAGACTTTCAGCAGACTAAACTCTTGCACAGTCAGAGATTCAGAAAGACAAAGATGACACTGCCTGTTTCTCTCTGCTAAATGAACAGGAATTGTTGACATAGCTTGAGGAATATTTCTCACTCAGGTCGTTCAGTGTAAGGTGTCCATTGCCTTCACTGCAGTTATTTATATGGAGATAGTGTCTCTGAAACCCCCTTAGCCTATCCAGTTTATAAACAAGGTCATCAGAGCTTTTCCTACTTTTCTGGAATTTCTCAAAGTTGTTAAATACTCTCTTGTTTTTAAAAATACACAGATAGCATTAATCTTTTGCCAGACAGTACACCCACATCACTTGCTCTCTCTCCATTATGTGAGAATTGCAGGCATACCTCTGATATGCATGCACCCACGTAGAGATGCATTTACTCTCTTCATGGGTTTTGGTCCTCTAGTGGCTAAACTGAATATGTTCAACACCACAAAGATTTTTGCTCTTAAAGACTACTTTTCCTTTATTATTCCTTCTTTAGTGGTAAACTGAGGTTCAGAGGATGGAATTTTTTCATTAATTTCAATCTATGTGATCTGGCAGGTTCAAAGGTTTTTAAATCTTTAAATTCTTTCCTTCTCTCCTGTTCAGTCCATGAGACGTGGACAGCAGAAGGCTTAAAATGTCTCCTTAATCCAGAAAACTACCAAATTTCCAATCAAATTCCAGGCTGAAAAGAAAGCTATTGCTTGACCACAGTCCCTACAGGAAGTAAAGGTGGGGGGCACAAAGTGGGACCGTGTCTACATTCTTCTTTTCTTTTCTAAAATTGTGTTGGTCAGTGTAGCCTAATGTCAGTTACTGTATATAAATTATGGCCCCAAAGGAGTTACATAAATACTTCCTCTCCCTAGAACAAGTAGAAAGCAGACACCACTACCAAAACACAATTCAGTCCTTTTTTTTTGTCCCAAAGATAGGGCAGCTATGCATTGCTCTTTACCAGGAGAAAATTGAAAAAAAAAGGCAATGGATGCCAATCTTTGCATCTTTTAGCTGCCCTGTTCTGGTGCTACATTTGATAACTGTCTGTTCTGTCTGTCAGCCCTTAACAAACACAGAATAGGCATTTCAGTAAACATAAGCAAAACTTTTAAACTAATGCAAAAATATTGTGTCTGAATTTTATTTTTTCAATACATATATACCAGGACTATCAAAAAATCCACACCAGGGGGAAATTACTCTACTCTCCTGCCCTGGACTCAGTTAGGGACTGGTCTCTCAAATCTGGCTTTCCAGGGCTGACCATGGCCTGAAGGTGTTTCTTCTTTGTCTTGGGGAAGGCAATGGGGGAAGTAATGTATCTATTTGGAAGAGTGATATGATTAAAAAAATTCTGAAAGCCATAACGAGTTTCTCGATTTAGCAAAGATCCTCTAAACTGTTGCTTGAATAACTCTAGAGCTTATATATATATGACTAGAAAGACAAAACACAGTCTGGAGAAACAAGTCCGTTTGGCTCTGTCTGCAGCAGTAAATTAAGCAGTGCCAGGAAACATTCCCAGGCAGAGGAACACAGTCATCTGTACTATTAATTTGCTAAAGTGGTCCTTCACACCGTTTTGGCTGAACAACAGCTATCACTCTCCCAAACTACTCCTAGACATGGTTTGGTTGCTGGCATGGGCCAGGAAGCATTCCTGGTAGTATGAACATGGGCCAGTTGGCCTCAGTGGTGGAGTACAGTCCCAGGCACATTTTATTTTGTAGTGGACACAGCTTTGAGTACCCCAGTCAAACCTCATCATGATTTTACAAAGTTGTATTTTAAAAATGCTATGTAGGGAGGCAATATGAGCAATATTTATAGATAATAGATTAAGTCTAGATTAATCTACCTAGATTACTCTATAACCTACAGCAAGCATGGTGTCAGTCCAGTATATATGACTTCCATCATCCCATGACCAGATAGAGATGGCAGTTCTCTCTGCACTTGGCCAGTTGTCTCTCAAGGGCCACAGACCTGAGCTGCGTGATAGGGGTTAATCCATACCACATGATTTAGGAACCACTTTTTGCTCCCTGCTATAGATAACAAAGATCATATAGATATAGATTGTTCATTTTTCATAAGGGTTTCTTGTTAGATTAAGAAAATAGGGAGGGCCCTCTGGCACAAGGTTGTGGCTAAGGATACACACGTTGCAAGGTAACAAGATCTGAGCTACCTCCAACTGAACTAGCTTTGATTCTGAAACTCCTCATCAGACAAAGAGTGGAACTGCAGCCCTCTTGTGGGACTATTGTTTTAATAAAAGAGAGAAAAAAGAAGGTTCACAGTTACTGGAGAGGATTTCCTAAGTGGCTGCTTCAGGTTGCTTTTCCTAAGCTGCCCTTCAAACTTGGTGCGTATGGCAGTGTATGCGCCAAAACCTGACCAGTGATCTCCCCACTCCTTCTGACAGAAACAGTGGGAAATTGTACCGAGAAATTACATTAAAAAATACTAATGTCCATGAGGGGGCATTCAGAAGTCAGTAAAAGAGACAGTACAGTTGCTTGTGATGCTTTGACTCTGCATCCTCAGTGTGGTATATTCCATAATGCAGCTTAATGGTGGCCTATTATGTCTTGAATAATGCAGTAAGGACGCCTTTAGTGACATGAGTCATATATTCAGCTGAATAACTTTTCTAAAGAATCAGAGTACCAATTAAGTGAATCACCACAGCCTTCCTTATTTTGAAAAGTGAGCAGATTTAAGGTCCTGTTTGATGTCAAGCAAATGCTAGAGCATTCAGTGAAGCAAAAGACAGATTGCATCATCAAATATAAACCTGCCTATAGCTACATAAAAGGATCAAGGTAAACAGCAGATCTACGCACCAGCTTCATGCTGAGGTTCCTCAAAGTTTTATCATCAGTTTACATTTTGACAGCTCCTTTCACATTCCAGCCTCATTTCAAAGCACACAATGGGAGCCAAAATTAACTGGATGCCATTTGACATGAAGTGACTTATTTCCTCTCTGCCCACTCACTGGATTTTGCAAGACCTAATAGGCTATATTTCAGTTTCTGAAATTGCAGAATTGTAAGAGGAAACTTTAAATCTTCCAGGAAACTATTGGACTGCATTCACCTCAGACTAACCTATACCACTTTTCCTATTTTACACCTTTTGCAGATCCACACAATTTACTGTTCAGCAATATGTTTATTACTGAAGAAAGCAATACATAGTAGCACACTGAGTTTTACTTCTCTTTTTTTCTGTTTTTTTCTTTATAATAGGGGTCCTGAGTCAAGAAGGTAACTAGGCCTTATTTTAGTAAAGCACTGGGCTGCATGTTTAACTTACTCCTTAAGTATGTGATCCCACCAGTGAAACCACTCAAGTGATATGTGGCTTTAAGGGCCTTGCTGAAAGAAAATCTTCTTGCAAATTAAAAAAATTATCCAAGCTAAAAAAAAACAGTTAGCCTGTTAGAGTGCTGCCATCTAGTTAAATGCGTCTATACAACAAATCCATTTATAGTGCTTGCAATATGTCAAAACCCAGTACACTAGGCTACTTGCAGAAAATCTTCGTGGACAGTCACTAATAGTTAATCAAAGGGACCTATTGTACCAGTTCCTTTGGGTTTGTAAAAACCTAAGTATATAAAGAAAAGTAATTAAAGAAAACAGCGTAAGAGCCCTGGTAATTTTGGGATCCTGCAAAACATAAGCAATTTTATGTTGAACTTTGTTAACTTGTGCTGCAATACAGCAAGCCCCCTCAATTGCCACAGGCTGCTGCAGAAGTTGACAGTGCTGCACAACTCATGGGAAGCAGTAAATGGTAGGAAGAGGCTGTTTTTCAGTAACCCAAGTCATATACGAACCTCAGAGCCCATATTTGAATAGGCACGATGTTTTAACATGCAATCTTGTGAGGGAAATCAAATCAGAAGAAAGTTCTACATTTGCTCTGATATTGTCTAGAAGATTGTGCTGGAATGTCTCAGGTTTTAACGTGGTACCCATTGTACACCAGGCAAATGAAAATGCTATGAAAACAGACTTTTAGAGTCTGAAGTAAGACAAGATGCAGTGTGCTTATGGAGTGATACAGACTACATTAAAAAAAAAAAAAACAAAACAATGTTCTATGCTACTACAGAAATAGAATCCTTAGCTGCTGGAAAAAATTAAGAACTGTGCTGTTGAAAGGATTGCGCTTGCTGTTTGACTACTGCTTGTCTACCTTCCTATATCAAGGTGAGGAATACAGTCACGTCTGGATTTTATATTCTGATACATGTAAATAAATGACTTTCACTGTGTAAATTCTTTGTTTTCTGATTGGAAAGTGTGCTTTACTGAAATGCATTGTTTTAATATTGTCAGTTAAGACCAAATAATTCCTAAAACAAATAACTCTCTTATAGCAGAAGTAAGACAGATTTAGGATTTAATAAGTTTGCTATTTTCTTTAACAAGTCAAGTATCTGGTCTTTATTTTTCATTACCTCGCACTTGTTGAGCAACCCGGTTTCTTGCAGCCTTGACCAGATGCTTTGGATCCTTCCAGCATGTTCAGGGTGATTAGCATAGTTGCCACACATACACTGGTGCTTCAGCATCAGACTGTCATACACAACACCTTCAGCACAAAGACAGCACAGTAAGAAACAGCCAGTGAAACAAATGCAAGTTATACTGTTCTGTGTCATGCATACTATAGAACAACTGGATTTTATTTGACAAGATGAGCAAGATGAAGATTTGACAATTAGAGAAAGATGAAAATTCTGGATCTTAATTCCCCTTTCCTCTGGGAAACTCTGAATCTTGACTTACGAGGCACATCTAGTGATACTGATAAGGCAAAAATTAATTCTCAAGATATTATACTAATAAATACAATTTACTGTAAAGAACAAAGGAAATTGGGTGGTGTCTTGTTAAAGCTTTTATGACTCGGAAAAATTCAGTCCTATTACTGAATCTCTTGTTTTCTCTAACACATAATATCAGTGAAGGCTGTTAACCTATATACAACAAGAAAAGGTTATATATTTATACCAGTGTAAGGAAAATGATTCAGAAAAACCTTTTAAAATTAATTTTGAAATGGCAATACCACTCTGTATTATACTGCTTAATTAATACTATACTAATTCCAGATCTCAAAGCATATCAGATGAAAGCTTCAGAGAGTTGCAGCAGTGGTAGCCAGAATCCTTTCATCAAAAAGAAAAGTTCCTCCCACTACTCAGTTAGGACCAAATCCTGTTGTTGGACTGAAATGCAAGGTTCCTTTTGAATTTTCTATGCTCATTTATTCAAGGACAAGAACAACTTTATACGGAACAGCTATCGATATCACATTGCTCTGTAGCTGTGTATTGGGAGAAAAGGAGAAACTTTAGAGTAGGCTCAAGATAAACTAAATTTTCAAGGCTTTCAAACCAAGTTTGAAAAACTGAAAAAATATTTTATTTATTTACTTGTTTGCATTTCCACAGAAATGTCTGAAACAAAAAATATTTTCCTTAGCAATGTGAATAATTTTCATTTGGGAAACATTTGGATTTTTCTTCCCCTTACAATTGAAAAAGACTCAAATTAACAGTTTCTCCAAGCTGCAAAACTTGGCATTCAAAACTTATCTCTTATGTGCCACCACTACTGGTGATGCCAACACAGTTCTGGGAAAATTGTGTTAGCCTGCTACTGAAAAGTCAACCAGTGAAGAAAATACAAAATTAAAGTCCAGATTCAACAACATGCTCAATACTGCCCTTATTTAGCAACTTCTTGAATGGATATTGAACTTTAAGAAAGTGTTTAAAAACTATACCAAATAAGAGTCTGTATACATTGTGGACAATGCAAAATTAAGGTTCTGAGATAATTCAGTGTGAAGCCAGCCAGAAATTATGCTGCTCTAGAAATATTTATGCTGCCATATTTCTTAGCTCATGTACTTTAGAACTGATCCTTTGGGACCTTGCTATTTAAGCCAAAATAATAATACAACAATTATGTTTAGCGTAAGGAAAATGCAAACACAATACCTATGTGCAGCATGACTAAGTTTATGCTAAATTATTATTTAACAAACAAAATAGTTCATTAGCAATAATTTCTTGTATTTACTTTCTTGGTTTGTTTTCTTCTAAAGAAAAAAAAAAAAGTGAGAATCTGGAGCTAATAAACTAATGCAGCTTAAAATCTCTGCTGTCATTGTCAAAGCAGTTAATGATTTCCTTTCTCTGCAGTTATTTGCACTGTAGTGTCTGTAAGCTTTGCTGCTCTTTCATCAGGTCTTAGTAAGAATGCACACAGGAATGCATGCAAATAACTGCATGCTCACATACCTTGCTTTCCTTTTCTTGGCACCCAAAGATTTAGTTTTTACAGTCTGTTGCATACCCAGATTGTACAGCTTGCCAGTGGTTATTATACCATTAGATAGAAAACTTTTCTTCCCATCCCCTTGCCTAACAGAGAAGGTGTTTAGATGCTAAATGTACATGCATTAATAAGGACTTTCAGAAGCTCTTAGGCAGAGTAGGCAGTTATATCCGATGGATTTGAATAGAAACACTTGTTAACAAAATCAGCTGAAAGTTGAAAGTATCTCCTGCCTGCCACTCTCAATGTTTTACTGTAATTATCAATGCTACCTGCAGGCTTAGGTTTGCATAGTCCAAACTGTAGTTAAAAGAAAAAAAAATATATATATTTTACTATGTTATTATTATCCAGAGTCAAGAAGTTATGCAATAATGACACTTTTTGATTACCTGTATCAGAGTTGCAACTAAACAGTGGTTTTGATGTGAAATGATGAAACTGTATTCAGGATGCCTCTGGTTGACATAGATACAGACATGCCTTTCTTGGTGCACTAGTATTTTTCCCAAAATAGTTTTTAACTAAAGATGTCATTTTATTGAATGCAAATTATTTTTTCCTAATCAAAAATCAGTTTAATCAAGTCAGGTCAGTATTGCATGACAGAAACATCTGCTCTAAACTTTTAAATACTAAGTTATTCACACCACTGAGTGTAAAATTTATTTCTAGCAGGATTAATTGACTTAAGAAAAGACTGAAATATATGTTTTCATTTATTCAAACATCTAAATTGGTTTAGGATGTGCAAGTAATTCAGATGTGTGGCTGCTGGTCATACAGCACATGTGCTTGGTACAATACCACAATGCAGCAGTAGAGCTCAATGCTAAAAATAGCCTGTAGGATTTCCCTAACAGGATTCAGCCAATAATCTCCCCACCCCCACACAGAGAGGGAGACAACTGTTTTCAATTGCAGACTGCTGTGAAATATTAATAAAAGATGGTTATTCTGTCTCTCCAGAACAAATGCCTACAGCCAGATTCTGCTCTCAGATTCCTTGTGTAAATCTGAGCAGCTCCACTGAGACTGGTGGATTTATTCTGGATTTACACCAATATTACTGAGGTCAGAATGTGGCCCTGGTGGCAGACTGGAATGGTGGTACCACTGAACTGTATAATGATAGAGAACACAAGACAAAAAAACCTGAATTTGCATTGTCAGAAAAAAAACAAGGTCTTCCTGGTGGGGACTCCCTAACACTTATTCTTTTCAAAATATTTTATGTGAGTCAGTTTCCTTTAATAATATTTTAAACAGAGGGGAAAGCAAGACACCTAAAATAATGTTGGCTAACAGCATGCTTTGAAGAAGGTGAAATGCCCTGGATAATAACAGTATCAATAAGAAAACCCAAAGGAACAATACCTAGTAAATTATTCAGAAGAAAAAATCTGAAAAAAATAATGTCAAATACTCTGTAAATAATCTAAATGAACATCAAGAAGACTTTAGACTTTTTTCCATCCTTAACTCATTATCTTGTGAATACACTGTGTATATATTGCATAGCTTTGTCACAACCATCACCAATCTGTTTTCCTTTAGATATTTGGCTAAGACCACTTTCTCTCATGACTCACAAAAATATAGGTTCATTTTGATACCCGTGTAATTCTGCTGCAACAGTTTTCCTTCTACCTTTTTTCTCTTCCAAGAACATACTGTCTTTAAATAGGGAAAAAAAAAAACGACCAAAACCCAAACAAAATGGTTAAGAAATTATTCAATGCAGGGAGATGTTTTTACACTAATTTCTAAAGTCTGAATTAGACCTCACTTCATGTTGTTTTTGAATTTTCTCCCTTTCCAACCACCCATTCCTTCCTTCTCTGCTTTTGAAAATAGTAGTGTTTCAACTGCTGTGAACAATGGCTGGTTGCATCTTGTGCTCTCTTAGCAGAGCAAATCACAGAACCAGGGGACATTTCAGGTTCCAGGAACATCCAGGGGTCTGAAGCCCAACCCTCTGCTCAGGGCTGGTCAGCACTGTGATCACGGCTGGTTGCTCAGTACTTTCATTCCAAAGGATTATGGAAAGGCTGTATAAAAATAGATTAAAACTGGGTTCAGGTCTCTTTCTTTCCACTGACCAATGAATAAATGCTAGGGCACCATCCAGACCCAGTAAATACTATACACAAATAAAACCATTCTATACCATATCATACCATGCTGGGTTTGAGTGAGTTGTGGGGTTTTTTTGGGGGGAAGGGGTGTCTTGCATGGCAGATCAAGGTGCTGTGCCCGAAGAAGGCCAGGATCATGTGGGAAAAGGTAGCCCCCGCTGTTGTAGCTCAGTGCTGGGAGGATTGCAGCATGTGGGGGTGTTCCACGCCGGAGCAGCTCGGGAAGGGCTGCAGCCGTGGGAGAGAATCCAGTTGGAGAACGTTAGTGACCCATGCTGGAGTAGTGTAGGGAAACGCTGTGGCCTGTGGGAGGGACTCATACCGGAGAAAGTTTGTGGAGGACTGTCTCTTGTGAGAGGGGGATCATGTTGGAGCAGGGGGAGAAGTTCCAGAAGATCCCCCCACCGAAGATAAGGGAAGTGGCAGCGCTGACTGCACCCCCCATTCCCTGCCCCTGCGCCCCTGGGGAAGGAGGTAGAGATATCGGGAGCAGAGCTGAGCCCGGGAAGAAGGGAGGGGTGGGGGTAAGGTGTTCTCAAGATGTGACAATACTTCTCACTGTCCTACTCTGTTAGGTGTTGTTGTTAGTGTCTGTAATAAATCTATTTTCTCTTTTTCTTCCCCTAATGAGTCTGCCTTTTGCCCCGGACCATAATGGGTGATTTGCCCCTCCTGATCCTATCTTGAATCCCAAGCCTTACTTATTTGTCACTTCTCATCACTGGGAGGGAAGGGAGGAGTGAGTGGCTGTGTGGTGCTCAGTTGCCCTCTGAGCTCAAACCACGACACATGCCATAGCATAGCATAGCATAGCATAGCATAGCATAGCATAGCATCCCATGCCATACCATACCATACCATACCATACCATACCATACCATACCATACCATACCATACCATACCATACCATACCATACCATACCATACCATACCATACCATACCATACCATACCACACCACACCACACCACACCATACCATGTATTAATAATACACATATAAGTCTAGTTATTCACAGAAGCTGTATTAGAACTCTTGACGTTGCAAAGTCTGTTCGTTGTCATTCCAAAGGTATTAATTTCATAATATGGAAAATTGCTTTATTTTCAATGCATTCAGAAACTGCAGTGATAAAGATTATATACATAAGTCTATAAGCCTAGAGGCATGTCAGGGAAAGGGATTTCTTCAAGCACAAAGGAAAAGCTTAATTGTGAATGAAGAGGTATGTGCTCTGTCAGACTTGCAAACTGGTCAATCAGCCAGGGGGTACTGGCTGTTAGCATAGATACAGCTTGGAGGCAGCTACAGCACTGCACTGTGTCTTCAGCCAGTACTTAGAGGATATAAAAGAGGTGTAGGTACAGAGCAGAAGTGGAGAACCAGAAGCATAAAGTTGTAGAGAAAGTGGAAATAGGATTTTTTTTCTTTAATGAGTAGAGATTATTATCTTGAAAGAGTGGTAGAAGGGGGGGGGGGATGGGAACAAAGACTCAACAAAAGAAGAAACAAGGATTCAAGAAAAAGGTGTTTTGGATTTGAAAAAAATGAGTTCAGTGATGGACTGAGAATCTCAGTTGGAATAAGATGCATATTTTCTCTCTTTCCTTCTCTCTTTCCACTGCTGTTGTTCATGTAGCAATGCCTTACTAAAGGGGTAAGGTTAAACTGCCCAATCTTAATATACCTGCCTATGCACCATTTGCACCATATTGCAAAAAAACCCACACATTGCAGAACCCATCAGGCTTCCTTGAGTCACATCTTGAGCCCTTTAAGCCTGGTGTGTCCTATTTCCTGACAGCATCTCCATTCAGTGTTTGTTCTACATCATTTCATTCCTTCTCTTACTCTTCCATCTCAACTTCATAATTTCTTTCTTGATCAGTTCCACTGATACCACAAGTCCCCAGGTATATGTTACCCCCTTGACCTTTGTCCCCTTTCTGGGGACTTATAAAGGGAAGTGTCAGTAAACCTTAGTAATCAGATGGAAACAGCAGCCTTTACATTTGTAACTCCAACTTTTCCAGTGGAACTGCAGATTTTTGAACAGGACATTGAAGCCTACACACAATAAGCTCACTTTTGGTGTGCTCTGTGAATCTTTTAGAATGAGTTCACAATGTTTCGGGACTTTATGAACCACAAATAAAAAACAGTTGCCTGTTTTAATAATCCTGTCTATACACAGCTGGTCTTTTAGCAGAAAATCATGGAAAGTGAATTAGCATGTTTTTTTTCTGTACAATCCAAATGTTTGTTACCCAACAAGTGGAATTCCTAAATTTGTAGTGAATTTAAAAAAGAAGAAATTATGTCTTTCATTTTTGAATGTCATCTTGTGTCCATTTACCCACTTTCTTGCAGTTCTCTAAGGACATCTGTTTTTCTTTTGCAGTTTTTTTCTTTAAAAAAAATATATTTTTGCTTTCCAAATTCACATTCTCATTGGAACAATTGGAGTGCATGCTGTCTCACGGAGTCACACAAAGTGCACATTAAGGACTCTATCCTATATCTATCTGTGGTCACAGCCTGTAAGCTTTTAGGACATGGCAAGTCCTGCCAACTGATGTGAAGGAATTAATACTTCTGGCAGAAACCTGAATACACAGTATCTTCAAGTATTAATTTTCCCTTTCTTGTACATAGAGTAAGTGAATCTTCACCTCTAACCATGCTGTAATGTTATACTGAGATTCAGGCTCTTAAAAAGATTGACCCTGTTGCAAGGTTAGGTTATACATAATAAGAAATGGGGTTTCTGTGGTCATTTTTCTTTCTTTCACTGAAGATTTCGGGGGTTCTAATCACTCTGCTTTGGACAGCCCAGGTCATACCAATAGTAGATGCTTCCTGAGTGACTGGACTGCCCAGGGCCTAACCATAAAGCCTTCCTCTTAGACTCCAAACAACTGCTGAAAGACACCAAAGTTGTAGCCAAAATCACCTTCCAGTCACAGCTACGGCTTTGCTCTTTCTCTAGGAAAAGCAACCTTGTAGCATAGACTGACTTGTCAAATGAAGACATTGAGAATTATATTGCAGCTTTCCTACTTACTGGTGGTCTTTCTTAAACTTATTGGTGGTCTCTTTACCAAACAGGCAACAAGAACGTGGAGAAAGGAACCAGAGGATAGGGAAATAAAAGAAAAAGCTATAAATGACTTAAAGGCAGCAAAAATGCACCTGTTGCTATATTGCCAGAGCCAGTCAATGATAATGATTTATGACTGTGTGAATATTAACCCAGTGATTTATCAGCTGCACTGGTTGACTTGATGCCAGTACAACGTCATAAAACTGAGAAACAGTAAGGCTAAAGCTGAATGCATTGCTACAGGAGGTATTTGAGACATTTAAATCTGTTGATCCCACATGAACAAACGCATTTGCCCTGCCTATTAAAATCAGTCTTTAGGGAATCCTACCAGTCGTGTAGACATGCTGGCTGGGCTGGTCCATGTCTGGGTGAGGTAATGTAGAATCAGTGGGGGAAGACGGGGTCCTGGACACCGCCCGATGTTTATCTAATCCCGCCATGCCAACTGTAGCCATCTGAGCCTGGTAGATTTGCAACTGGTGGACACGCCGATGTGCCAGGAAGTCCTGTTTCCAAGAAAACAGCACAGTAGAAAGAAATTTGAGATGGGATCAAGTAAGACACTGAGGGAAACATGTCAACAAATTAAGTTCATTAGGTCAGGGCTGTAATAAACAGTGTGGAAAAAAAAAAAAAGAAAAAAACAACTCCCACCTCAGACCTAGTCAATAAATCCATTCAACAGATGTTTTCACACTGACAGTGTGGGCTGCTGACTTTGCTGGAGAGTGGGCAATGGCAGGCAACCTGTCAGTTCTCCCCGACAGAGGAAAAGACAGCTACATATGCAGAAGCTTATAAAAGACAAAGGTTTTTCTAATATATTGAATACATATTATGATGTTAGAATATGCATTTTATGAGCCTATACAAATAAAAATAAAACCTTCCTACAGCACTGAAAGTGAGAGGGGATATCTTTGCTATTCAGTACTAAATTCACTGAACAACTGTGAGCCAAGTTTCTACACAGGACTCAGTTCCCAGAGTGTCCTGGAAAACAGGAACAATTTGCACATAGGTTTTCACAAATCGTTTAGAAATTCAGGAACTGTTACATAAGATCCCACTTAGAGACCATCTTTTTTTGTCATGACTGCTGCTGGCTGTAGGCAGTGCCAAACACTTCAGGAAAGGTAGGCAAGTGTGAAAAGATTGAGACAGAGCAGAAAGGAAGATTTCCTCCTCTGTTTTGTTTGTCAACAGATGGTGACTTTTGCTGATATGAAAAAGGCTGAAACCCTTCTGAAGTCAGCAGAAACCTTGTCATCCACTCACCACACAGTAGGATTGCTTTGCAAGCCCCTTTATTTCTGTTTTCCTTTTCTTTTGTGTATATAGTCTTAGAACCTCAACAGAAAGTGAATGCAATAGAGAGATTTCCAAGCCACTTTGCAATATAAATTTAGTTGAAATTCACACTTCTGTCTTAGAACTGCAGACTCTGTTTACCCTCATCTGGTCTCATACATATATGCAGGTATATATATCGTGTATATATGGGGGAGGGTTGTGGTTTTTTCTTTTGTTGCTTGTTTTGGGTTTGTTTGTTTGTTTTTTTTTGTTGTTGTTGTTTAAACCCCACAACAATTAGCTGTGCTGTATGCTGTTGCTTGGGGCAGCAGCTCAGAGGCCTGGCCTGGCCAAGGAGGGATTACTGGGTGCTTGGAGGTGAAACTGAGTTCAGGCTGCGTGGGAAGGCAGGTGGGAGTACCCGGGAGTACCACAGCCCCTCTTGTGCTGCAGAATCAATCCACAGCTCATGAGAAGTGAGAAGTCTACACTGCATGTAAAAAAAGAGGCCTTTACCAAAACAAGTGCTCATCAATAACAGCTGAAATGAGAACAAGTGCTTTAAATGGCAGCCTCAAAACCCACATTAATATCTAGGGTCACCACTTCAGTGAAAAGACATAAGGTCATGGGAAGGGTAAATCATCTGGGACCCTGTCATAAGTGACAAAGAAAGAAAATATGAGTAAGTAAGAAGAGGTTTTACAGGTGTCTTGGTTTTTGGTCATTTAACTATTTCCCTTTCTTTAAATACAGTCCCCAACTTTTCCTATCGCTTTTTAAATGTATGGTGACAGGATAGTGTTATATATTCCAGGAAATATCCTGAGATATCTGAAGAAGTCTATGTATCCCATTTCCTTATGAACATAACGTTCAGGAATTCTTTCATGAAATGCCCAAGTGCCTTGTTTTTACTTAGTTTCATTAATTATTTTAATTGTGATAAATTTTCAGAGGAGATATTTTTGGGGCTCCTAGGCATACACATCTTTTGTAACCTTTGCTAGAAGTATGTGTGATTGGAGAGAAGTGAATAATGCATGGATGCTATTGTGTTGAATATTTTCCTTATGGAGAACAGAAGTAGATAAATTCCTTTGTCAGGATTTAGCATTCACTTTCCTCAATGCTGGCTTATTGCTCAATAAAGGAGGCACAGGAGGTATTTTGCTGTCTGTAGCACGATTACTCCCTGCATCCTAGGGTTAAGTGGTAGCAGCAGCACGGTCTGCCTGATGCTAGTGTATTCACCATCTCCTGATTACTCTTCCAAAGCACCAGAGATAGCTGAGCGGTTTGGAAGAAGCCAAACTCATACCTGCAGGAGCCCTTCTTCACACAGAGCTTTACACTCATACATGAAATCAGCAGAATGGTTGTTATTTCTGCTGCTCTCCTCGACCTCATAGGTTGTAATCATTGAGTTAATTAAATAGCTGGTATCTGTGTAGTTCTTTGATCAAGCGGATTTTTGATACTATCTTTCAGTGTTCACACTAATATTTCATTGAGATCACTTTTCTGATAGTTACTAGAGTACAGAAGACAAAAGGGTTTGTTCCCTGCTGGAATGATTTTCAAGCTAGTTAGTGTGCACCAGTGTATCCTGGCAGTCTGCATTAAACAGTATTATTCAAATATATTTCTTAAGGAAATCTTGGAAATTGAGCTATCAGTGAGGGGGGATTCATGCTGTGCACAAATGTTTCTGTCTGGACTTTTCTTGGTGCCAGTAGACTCAGAGCTCTGAGCCTTTAGAGCTGCCTTGTCTGCCTTTTTTTTTATTTTCAGACCTGAACTTCACTTGTGTAATACCTGCGCAATCTTTTTCACTGAAGCTGTAAGTTTTACATTTAATCAGTATCTAAAATCCAATCTACCCAGGTCTCTGATCTCTTTTTTTTTTTTTTAATGGTGTTTTGAAGAAATAAAAATCCAAAGACTGGAACACTATAAAATGTAGATAATTTGGGAAGATGTTCCTACCTTTGGTTATAAACAGATTAGGTGTTTGTGTCTATGTCAGTAATAGAAATAACACTTTTTCAGGCATACAGACAAATCAAGGTAAAATTTTTTTAATGTTAATCAACATGTGTGAACATCACCTAAGAGCCAGCCAGCCACATATTTCAGCAATTTGTCAAAGACCAAGAAGAGAGCCTGTTCTTGCTCTCCTGTATTTTCCTGCTAAACTATGTTTTGTTTATATAATTTCTCCCCCCTCAAATGAAACCAGGCACATACCTAGAATTTGACACATGTTTATCAGCATAATCAGTCCAGGGAAGGATAAGAAATTTGTGGATGGGTGAATGGAAAGCTGCGTGACACCTGTTTTAATTTCTCAGGTCACAGAAAAATGTTTGCCTGTGAAAACCTTTTAAAATTTGTTAAGAGGGCAGTAGTTTTTCTCATAATGATTACACCGAGGCTTGCTTACATCCTCTGGTGACTTCCAGATCCTTTAACTGTAATTTTAAAAATTCTAGCCATCAGCAAAGTTTGGACTTGTTTAGGTTTTAGTCACAGTTTTAGACTAAGTTACTGATTAAGTTTCATTTTACAGACAACAGGCACTCATGAAATACATATATTTTTTCCAGCCACCTACATATTTATGCTGTGAACATTTGAGATACTCTGTGTCACACAGACAAGTGGATTAATGCAATGAGTAATGTGCATAATCAACACACTTATCTGGCTCCCCAAATGCCCACCTGGCCTCTGGAAGGGATTAAAACAAGATGATGAATTCATCTTCAGGTTTTATGTGCTAGAGCACTGCAAACACATGTTCATCTCTCCAGCAATATGACAAAAGCAGTATTTGCACATCTGCAGGGTTAGTGATTTGTGTGAATATATTTGGAGCATTTCTTAGGTAACCTGAGCCCTGCCTGCCCAGCATGGAGCCTGCTAGTTCCAGGTGCCTGAGATTAGTTCATTAGTAGAGGCAGGCAATTAGGGCCTCTGCCAAGGGGAGTGGAGGGCCATTCATCGTCTTCCTCAAAAACCAGCTCAGGCCCTCAGTAATTATTTTGAGGAGGATTTTTAGAATTGGTATCTAAAGAGAAGATGACCCTTTCAGAGGCATGAGAGGTAAATATTTATTATTTTCTTAGTATTACTGTAAGGTTTGTTGTTTAGGAAGAGCTGGAATTAATTTAGGTTCTGAGGATTTTAATAAGAACTATTTCCTTATTTCTACTGGCTGTGAGAATTGGTGATCCACAAGTGTGTTCAGTTGGATTGTTAGATGATCTGTGTTGGCTGATAGAGCATAGGTGAGTTGTCCTTCAAGCTGCTATGTTTTGTGCAGAGAAAAAAATATCTGGGGTCCACCCATAAAAAGTTTTCTTGTTTCTCAACAGTCTGCTTTTTACTTTAGTTTGATATGTCTATATTTAGTTTAATCACAGCTAAATAAATCCTAAAATGTATATGTCTGTACCATAATCCGAAGCGTGTATGGGCATCTGCACACTTCTTGTCAGGGTTTATACTTTAGCTTTTTTTCCCTGTGGTAGAAAACTTTTTTCTCCCAATATATTAAAAATTTGCTATTCCTAATAGTGAGATTATTTCTTATAGTCTGTCATATATTTGTGGCCAGGTTTATAGCCGTCTGTTGTTGTGCCTATACTGCATTCTGCTAAACTATGAAATGTGTGCTAATGTCTATTAGCTATTAAAAATCATTCATGTATCACCCATCCTACCCCAAAGACCTTCAGTACTACTAACCTTACAAGGTTTGTCTCCTCAAAGCATTTTTTGGTGGTCTGTTCACTAGTTATTTTTTTCCTATAATTTCTACATTGCTTTCTGAAAATTACCCAAAGGACCAATTATTACTGAGGAGGAACAATACATCATCCAAAGTCTGGTTCAGTCAGAAATCCTAGGCACCCAGAAGCTTCTCATACAGTTCAGTTGTAGCTAGTTAACAGTGATTCAGAAATCATGGGCTTCACGGAAAATATTAATAGGATTGACCTTAGTTATCCCCAGAAGTGACAGAAAAAAAAGCAGAGAGCAATAAATTCCTAAACAAAGAATACTGGGACAAAAAGAGCTGTAGGTAAGCAGAAGCTGTAGCACTTTTGACTCAGGATTTTTTGTGAACTTCTTCAGACAAAACCATAATTAGTTGCCCTCAAGAACTGAGCAAAAATAAGTCATGAGATCTTCTGAAAATACTTGT